GGGCACCCTTTCATTTCCCGTCAGCTGTCATCGTCTGCGCTTTCCTCCATAATGGAGATGAGAGAAGTTTGTGGCCACACCCTCTGAGAGATGAGATCAGATGGTGTGTGTGTGCGCGTGTGTTGGATGCTGTCCAAACACGCTTACTGCTGCCTCCCGTCCTGTCAGGGCAGTGGATTAGCTGTATGCGAGCGATTCTCTGAGAGCCAAGGAGCTCGATGGCCAGCTGACCGAGGTGCTGTCACTCGCACACGTGAACATTTAACGATCGCCTCATTGTTCCACTTTTCTTCCTCTCGTCTCTTGTTTCTGTGGCTGGATCAGAAATATTAGACGTGATGTCGGAGCGTATTCTGAGACGCTGGCTCTTCACCACATTTGCTGTTTTCATGTCAACATTGAGGCGTTTTTACACCCTGACAAACAGCACTTTCTTTATCGTCAGCTGCCGGAGGGGAAGGCGGGGCGATAATGTTTTTACCCATGTCTGTGTGAGCCTGTTTATTCACCTGCACCTTCAGAAAAAAATCTCAAATAATGAAAGTCAACGTAATTATTTGATGAACATACACGACTGATTAACTTTTGGAGTCAACTCGGTTCAAGATTGCTGTCACGTCTAATCCATCAGTAATGTTTATTACTCTCAGTTTGACAGATATTGAGATATAATTTGTTGTGGTAGTAGCTGACAGTCATTCACAACACGTCCTCAGAGTGCTAACGAATCACGTGGTATTTCATGTGATCGTGCTCGATGTTCTCAAGATTTGACCAAGTTAGCTCCCAACTCCATCACTTCTCCACATGAAATGGTTTTACAGGAAGCGGCAGCAGTGACCACAGATGGCCCGCTGTTTGTTTGTTTGTAGCATCTTTAGATAAACGTATTTCACACAACAAGCATCACAGTAAACAAACAAACAAAAAAAAACATTTAATGAATAAGCCGAGCTGTCCTGAAACGACTCACAGCCATCCCATAATAACTCCTGGCAGTTTTTTTAGATCAGCTGCTGCTCTGATTAACCCCTCCCTGTTCGTTCTGGTCCAGTTCCTGAGATTTATCAACACTTCCACGTTTTCCTGCTTGGACATGAAAAACTTTTCTCCTTTCTGGTTGTTCACTTCTAGACCATTACATTTTATTTGGTGTTGGCGTCCCCCAGTTTAATCTGAATGTTTGCCTTTTTTTAAAGGCTACAATTAATAAATCTCTGTAGCCTTCATCTTGAGAGAGGCAGAAACTGATTCATGCAAACTTAAATGTTGTGCTTTACCTTTAAAATGTATCAGAAAAGCACAACATCATATTTAACTAACTACAATTATTTGTTCAAATTAAGTTACTTTGTGCAAGTTTCATAAACATCCATTTATTTATTTTTTGTATTTTGTTAACAAAATGCCAGTTTTATTAATCACAACTAGTGAAGAACTGCTGCTCCTTTTGTAGAGTTTGGAAAAAGGCTTATTATAAATCTGGGTTTTCTGATAAACTGTCACCTAAACCTTTTGTTTCTCAGCTTCTGAATGAGTGAAACTTAAAAAAAAAAAAGTTATATTTTTATAGAAAAAGTGTCTGCCTCTGCTAATAAATCTGATATTTAGTAAAAAATGTTTCCACAGAAGCGATGAAGGCTGTTATCTAATCGTCTGACTGCAGAGCTCCGTCATGTTAGTGTCAGCTGAAGATCAGCTCGTAACTAGATTTCAGACAGAAACGTCATATTTACTGGTACGAGAGGCGAAATGAGTTACGTCTGATTCTATCTTTGGATCAGAGACTTCCATCGAAGAGGTTTGACGTCGAGGTGACGTGAACTGGATCAGATCTGGTGTTTTATTTTAGTGAGCTGAAAATCTGTCTGCAATACAGTTTTGTTACTGTTGCAATAAAAAAACACAAACACATCAGTTCTGAACATGCATCTTTAAACAAAACGGCTGCAGGCGCATCATCATGACAAAGTGAAAACTTTCTGCAGGAAAATGGTTTTTAATGTCTTCTGCCAGATTGGCTTATTTAGAAGTTTTTGCTGTTTTAAAGCGTTTAAATATGGCAAAATATGCAGTCATGGACCATTTTTAAATTTATTTTGATTACTGAAGATCCAAGCTAAACCCCATACAGCATTTCATAATAAAACCCCAAATAAAAAATAAAGTTGTGGATGTTTCCTGTAGACGTTTTCTTCAGTTGCAGCTGAAGAGCAGTTTTCTGTGTAGAGAAACACAAAAGCAAAGTGATGCAGTGTTTTTGGACGCAGTCTCCGTATGAATCCAAAGGTTTTAGCTGCGTTTCTGCCCTCGATCAGGAAGCTGCAGCACATGGATGCTGATGTTTTTAGGTTAGGAGCTCTAAGAATACAACTCTGCTCTGGTAACACATTATCAGGATAAATGGAGGGTGTTGTGGTTTTTAAGCAGAAGTTTACCTAAACAAAGATGTCTGACTGCGTCTGTTGGAAGCAAACGATAAATAAATCTATGTTCAGGCTTTGCTGTGTTGCCTTTATACGTGACAAGAGGGTGGCAACAAAGGAAAAGTTTACAAGACAGTGGTGAGACCAGCCATGTTGTATGGTCCGGAGACAGAGACATGGACAAAAAGACAGGAGACAGAACTGGAAGTGGCAGAAATGAAGACGTTGAGGTTCTCCTTAGGAGAGACAAGGATGGATGAGATTAGGTACAGCGTAGGTTGAAGGACTGGGAGATAAAGTCAGAGGTCAGACTGAAATGGTTTGGACATGTCCAGAGGAGAGACAGTGGTTTGGACATGTCCAG